AAACCAATGAAAGGTCATGTTTCTCAACTCGACTGTAATCCTGTTTGGCCTTTACCAGAGTCCTTGAAGCGTGTGCAACTGGTTTTTTGACACCACTTGGGATCACGTAAGAATCAATTGCTCCGATACTATAATAAGATACATCAAATGTAATAATAATTTCTATCTTGGGGTTGTAATGCACAAATAGGAGGTCAAAAGATAATATCTCTGTGACTTTGTCCGATGCACGTTGGTATTCACTCTAGCTAGTCTAATTCTCAACTTTTTTCAGTAGTTTGTTTGATAGTTTGCTTGACTGATGCATTTCCATAACAGAAGAACCGTAGAAAAGGATTAGTTCCAAAAAAGAATGTAACATGTTGATGTCGTGCAGAGCAGTCACTATCTGAATAGCTGTTAAATTTCCCGAACCCAGTTGATGACAACCTTTTTCCACCACAAAACCATGGTATTTATTATACTGCATGGAAAAATCACTCTCGCCTTCAGGTTAATGGAAACCATACTGGTAGAACTTTGATAGCGTGTAGTCTAGACAATTGAAAATGTCCTCGTAAGTTACATCATCTATACTGCCACACTTTGCGTTCCAGTGGTTGAGATGCCTATAATCTGTTGGGAGAGAGTTAGGGTTGTCTTCCAATTAGATGGTAATCTTCGATGCTGATATAGGCTACTGTGTTTTTTGGTAGTCAAAAGTCCTTTCGGAGAATCGTCAACTTCTGTTTATAAATATGCATCAGCTAAGTTTAGCTTTGAGAGGTATTTTCACCATTCACCTTGACGAAAATATCTTCTGGTACTGGCAGTGGACAAGACATTGTTCAACCCAGTCGAAAAATCTGCAGACGTAATTGCAAATCCGCTTCCCTTTTTTACTGCAATAATTGGTGCTGAACAAATGGAGAAGTCCACTAGTCTAAGGTGACCCAATTCTTCTAATCAATCCAACTCACGATAGACTGACTGAATGATCACATAGAGAAGTGGTCTTTCTGGCTTGTAAAGTGGCTTATGAACATTTCGGAGGTATAGTTTAGCTTCCTAGATTGCGCAACAACCTGAAGTTCTTCTGAATACTTCTTTATGTTTACTATGTAAAACCCTAATCCAAGTTATTTACGACTCCATCAATCATTATTCGAGGAGACGCACATACTTATGAACAAACTGAATGTGAGGATATTTCCAAATGGGATAGATCATCGATCTAATCAATACCCCAAAGGTCCGGATGTAACGGTAGAAGACAAAGAAACACAATACGAAGGGCAGAAGTAGCGCGACACAGAAGATCTATGCAAATGACTACTTGTAGATAAGGTGTACATAATTTCGCTATATAGAGATACCAAATTCCAATTATGCAGTTTATTTAATATATCTCTTGTCTTCTTTTCGTATCTCTCATGCCTTTTCGCAACGTTAAGTCATTTGCTGCCTTTGATGTCGAATCTATCTCTCCACTATGTGATATTTTTATGCCGATAAATGTCTCTTTATATACTACTGATAAATCTTATTAATAGCACACACCATACAGGTCATAACGTTTCGTAAGGTAACTTAAACGTCTGAAATTCTTTGACATGTATTGAATGTCACAAGTAATTTCACTAACTAGTTCTAAAATATCTCCAGAACCATTTCCAACAAGACGGTATGTAGCGGAAACTAACGGACATCCAATAGCTTGCGAAGGTTTTCAGGAGATCACAGTTATGTTTGGGGCAGTGTCGAGCTGAAGTTGAATGGGATAATCATGTAAGGATACCTGAACATATTCCTGTTTATTCAATACTTGCACATTACAAACATTGAAAAAAGGTCTTAGTCTTTCTCTTAAAAGTGAACAGCGATCTGCTACCGGATAGATTTGAATGAGTGCAACCAAGGTGAAGCTTGAAAAAGCCTTCTATATGTCCACATCTTTGATATTTTCTACATTTATTTTTCTTGTATTAGCATATGCGACCTCAATAGCATGCTTCATAGAATCAACAACTGGTAGGAGGTTTCTTGATTATAACAGGAACTGAAGATCCTAGTTAATTTATCTCACGAATTTTACACCTAAGGGAAAACAGGTAAAATAGGCCATTGGAATAATGACCATCATCAAATCTCAAAGCTCTTGAAAATCCTCCCACTTTGATTATCGTTCATCACAGCGTCACTTGGTCGGTCTCCCAAAAATTAACTCAATGCTTTGATAAAGGAATGTACTGAAAGATACCGTGTTTATTTATGTACTTTTTCAATTTCAAAGTAATAATAAACATTAATCTCTGATTTTCTAAATTGTCTCCTCACTGCTATGACCTTCAGATGGTAATCCGTTATTTTGATACTCAATTTTTTAACTGTATTGTATAACTAATAAAAGTTATTTGACTGAAATGTATTCATTCTAGTTTACAAACTCCATCCTGATTGTTCTAGTAACTGACAAAAGTCGCCATTGCTTTATGTATTTTAACTTCTTAAGTTAAGACTGTGTGCTTTTAATGGACAGCGTCTGCTGTTCGCCTTTTGATCTAAATGCAACAATTATGATACTCTTACTCGGAATTTGGCATACTCACCACCCAACAATTCGATAATTCCATGGTTAATTTGTTTACACAACCATCTCCCTATCTCTGCACATATGTAGTTGAAAGTGACTGATATTTTTACTAGCTGCTGCGGTTTAGTTGCTGTTATCCGGGATTAAATCTCTGAATATCAAATTTACATAAAACTGTCTTCTCATGGCGTTTACCACTTCTGCTAAATTTTTCGTAATTGTTGAATCTGAGCCTCTGAGTTGCGACTTCCTGGGTGAGATTTCGAAATTTTTACGTATTCCACATTCACTACATTCTCTAACAGTGACAACAAGTGAAGGAATCCAATCTTTTTAATGTGCAGTAGAAGTAACACCCACATTGAAATCAAAAGTTCCGGGAACAAAATAATTAAACAGACAAACAATGTATAGGCTAACAAACTTAAATGCATCTAGAACACTGTTCCTTGTAACTGGATATTGAGAAGTCTAACCTTACTCTGTCACTATTAATTGCATTTGGTACTGCTGTTTATTAATTCAAGCAGTAAATATTTAAATTGTTGGGTTTATGAGAAGTGGATACCCTTCGACAGATTCTAGAACATAGGCATTCTTACCGGCGTCCAACAATCATTATATTTCTTGACCTAAAGGCGGCATTCGATTCTGTCGACCGAAAGGTTCTCTGGCGATGCTTGGCTGTAAAGGGAATGCCAAGAAAATACATTGCACTGATCAAGGCACTCACTCTACTCGAACTCATGCAGCCAGATGAAGGCTTACGGCGAGTTGTCATCTGAAGTGTTGATGACTAGTGGCGTCCGTCAAGGATGCCCATTATCCCCATTTCTATTCAGCTTCATCATAGATGTACTAATGGACTTAATCCTAACTCACTTCAGCGACTCAGGGATTGACTTGCTACCAAGGAATAATCTCGTTGACTTAGAATATGCAGACGATATAATCCTTCTAGGCGAGGACGCTGACAAAATGCAGAGTCTTCTGAACATGTAACAACAGAAGACAAGGGCCAGGCAACAGATCGTTTATTACGAAAAATCAACACGTATTTATAGATTTTTATGTACATTATTGTAGGTCAATTTTAGTAGAAAATACAGTCTGTTGATTGGTTGTTTCTCACACAAGTTAACCTTGCATCTCTTGTGGCTGTGTCAGTTCATCTATATGTTAACTGTAACCGCCTGTCCACCTTGACCTTTGACCTCAATTACTGTCCACCACTTGGCTAGTAGACCGCTCTCACCACAAACACATTGAGCTGCAATCTACGAATGTTTGGCATGCGATTCGCTCCCACCAGATGTAAGATGATGTTACAGGACTGGACTACACTGACTCCGAGTTTAAAAATAGGGAGTGAAGTGGTAGAGTACGTTGACCACTTCACTTATTCGGGAAGTACCATCAGCCTGCACCAACGGGTTGATCTCTGACGAAATCTCAGCACGGATACAGATGGCTAGTTTTGCATATGCCAGTTTACGCCGTCTCTGGCGTAGACGTGATATCCGGCTGGCTATCGACCAAAGGGCGTGTGTACTGCTCACCAGTCCTCTGTGGCTGTGAGACCTGGCCATTGAGAGCGGAAGACATGAAAAGGCTAGCTATCTTTGATCATAGGTGCCTGCGTTCTATCTCCCGTGTGAAGTGGTGTAATAAGATGAGGAATATTGAGGTGAGCCATCGGTCGAGTGCTAGGTAAGGAGGGGAAATCAATTGACGAGACTGTGAAATTACATCGACTGAGATGGTTAGGACATGTGCTACATATGCTTAGTCATCGCCTACCTCGACAATGGGCAATGTTAGCTGATATAGGGTCAGGCTGGAAACGAGCTAGCGGTGGTCAAACGAAAACATAGCACCAATCAATGAAATCTACAAAAGTTAGTCTAAGCCACGTAGGAAGGTGTAGACTTTCTGGTTGGGGTCGGCGGGACGGTAGAAACCAATGGTTGGAAACAATTGGTGACATGGCTCAAAATCGTTGTCAATGGCGCAGATGCATCCACTCCTTGTGACTTATAATTTCCAATGAAACTATATTGTTCTTCGTTATTACTACTCCTTTGTCTCACACCTCAACTTACTGTCTCTATTATGCATTTCTTCTAAAAAGATTACAAAGTGTGCAGTTTATCACCTAGCCAATAAGTTGTAATACAAAAGATGATGATCACCAACTTCGACCGATTTATGGACAGTTCTGTAGAGCCTCTAAGATGAAACAGCTCTACATTGTTATCCACCTTCCAGTTTTCCTCTAATCATTACCTATTTTTACGAAATTTACCTTAAACTGAATGTTTCGTTTCTTCTGAACAAACTATGCGAAAAATGCATAGGAAGTGCTTAAAAGATTATAACTTCTCATCATCGATAACTTAACGCTCATTTTTTTTCGTTTTTGTTACAGTATCATTAATAAGCTGCTATCAGTTACAATTACGACCATATTCATACGTGTCGTGCGAATGACGTCTTTGTGAAGTCCATCGATTATAGTTCTTCAATCGGTTTAAAACTGGAGAAAATTTTCTGAAGTTAAAGGAAAAAATTGCTGAAATCAGAGATAACGAGTCCAGGTGATAACAACTATATTTTGATGAAAAGAATATTTTATTATGCATGCTGTTATGAAACTAAAGCACTCGTTTATTATGAATCGGACTTGTCCATCGATTTCATTAAGAAATGAGTTATCCTTATTGTGACTTACCAGTAGAGTGTTATCTGGCATTAAAATTGGCCCCTTTCTCTCCGTTTCACTTGTTAATGTCGTCAGAAAGAAAACAAAGATTACCTAAAAGTTAAATCTGAGAAATTGTCGTTAAAAGTAGATTGTACAATTTCATAATTGTAATTTTTTGTAACCAAAGTTGGCTAATTCACAAGTAATAAAAGTCTTTCACTAATCTCAACGGTGTTGTGTTTCGTTCTTCTTTTAAACTGTATTATTTGAACTTACACCCAAAAACGTATTTCTTGTTTGGAACAAGTGAATTTTTCTACCATGCATGTTGTTTTACTGTCTTTTTATCCAGTAAAGGACTGGTAATAGTGTCAAGCAGAATGATGAAAGAGGTTGTATGGTTTCTTATTAGGGAAAATCTTCTCCCGAGCAGTATTGTCATACATTCATTAATCAGGAACTAGAATATCATTTTTGCTTAGAAAAATTGTCAGATTACTGAGGAGCTTGGGATGTTCTAGAAGCAAAAAGTGAATTGAGTGATGACTGACAGCTGAATAAAACGCTTTCGATAAATATTTTATTTAAGTGAACCTTATTTTAAAATCTTGAAAAATCCAATCTTTTAATTATTATGTTACTGTTATGTCATTCTGCCTTTCATCCCGAGTGTAACGTAGAACTTCAGTGGGACACGGACGTTGTACTATTTTCTAAGCCATCATTTTCAGCTGGCTCCAAGCCTGCCTATCAGGCTTAATTTCTAACCCACACGACTTTTATAACACCCTCGGACAGTTAACTCATCACTTCCCATTCATGACATTCATACCATACTACTCTCATGAGTGAAACAGACGGATTCCTTTGGACTTATTCCAGTGATCTCCATCGGAGCTTATTGTCGTTGGTTAAATTCAAGGGCTCCTCAAATAAACCCTCCACTTTGTGAGACCTCAAACATAGATCATCTGCGAGATTCAGATAATCCTCGGCCTCTTCCTCAGTCCGGCGGATATACTTACTCTGACTCCCCACAGTATAAACAATGATCTACTCCACCAAAATCAGCAATATCGAACGTGGTAGTAAACAGCCTTGTCACATTAGTCCTCACTCCAAAAGCTTGGCAGAGTTTTTCGTCGTGCATTACATGGTATGTGGCATCACTGTGTAGATGCTGAGTGAGGTTTATTAGGGTTTGCGGAGATGCTCTTGGTTACCAGCTATCAAAATACTTCATGGTCAACGCTATTGACAGGCTCTTCATAGTCCATGAAGTTTAAGTAGAGGTTTGACTGTCATTCTATAATCAGTTCGATGACGATGCGTAGTGTTGCAATTTATTCCGAGCATGAAATGTATTTTCTGAACCCGGCTTTTTTCGGACAGAGTTTCGCATCCAGAGCATCTTTAGGTCTCTCCAGAATAACACGAATTAATGCGTTGTTTGGCGTGGAAAGGAAGCAAGACTCTACGCCAGTTCTAACAAAGGCTTAGAACACTCTTCTTTTGTGGTTTGACAAGGTATCCTTTCTTCCAGTAGTGAGGTACCTATCCTTCTTTCCTGACTTTTCCAATAATTATATGGGCATATCCCTTCAGGTCTGTGTGTCCGTTTTCAAAACTTCCGTGGAAGTTGCATCTTGTCCTGAAGCTCCATTGTCTGGCTTTTGGCAACTTTATGACATTCAAGACTTCTGGTTTTGTCTCAGGGTTGGTATTCACTTCCAGTTCTGTGTCTGCTATTGGTGGGTACTATCTCTGGACTTTTATGAAATGACCTGCCCACCGATTACTCTGTTCCATCTCGTTGTTAATTGGATCTCCTTTACTGTCTTTAGTTAGTTTCATCTATGCTAGTCTTTTGACGAATGATGAGCTGGTGATTTGACACAGTGTTGTGAAGTCTCCCCTACCTGCAAATTGTTGTGCCTCGGTCACCGGTGTGTTGTAAAAGCGTCTTTTATCTTTACTGGCAATCTCGCTCAGCCTTTCGTTCAGTGCTCTATAGTTTTCAGTTAGCTTATGCTTTCGTTGTTCATCTTTTGCTTCACCATCCTTCTCTCCTCTTTAGGCTTCCATAGAGAACCATACCTTGTCTGATCTCCCCCTCTTGCCTAAGATGTCTATACTGGTATCCTCCTACATCGCTTTTAGGAAGTTTTAGCGTTCATCTATGCTCAATGATGTTGCCTAATGTCTCCAACGTTATCCTGGTGGCTTCTACGAATGGGTCCTTTGTAGCTTTTTCGTTGTTTTTCTCATTTATTTTAGGACTGGTCCCACCCTATTCTGTAGTCTGTGGTCTTTTGAATTTATCATCACGTTTTCTTTTTTCTCTCTTTGGGAGTTTAGGCTGCCTCCAGTTTCCTTAATTGGTTTCATTTGTATTGATTTCTTGGAGGATAGCCACTTAACTATCGAAGGTATTGTGCTGTCAAAATCAAAATCATTGGAAGATCATTGTTCCAGATTGTTCTGTATAAATTAGTTTTCTTTTTATTTAAATTGTGCATCATCCCTCTCTCTTTTTCTATAGCAATGATTTTAGATAGATGAAGTATGTTTTAATATTATTTTGACCAGGTGTGTATTGAACTTACTTTTCCCGAGCACTGGTTTCATCCCAAAGTCTCACAGAACAACAGTACTTCGCATGTTTTTGCTGATATAACAGGATAAAATTCTAACTTCACAAATTCCAAGCGTTTAATTTATTTTGAGCATATGTGATAATCAGGAGTCAAACGTAGAAAAAATGCGTCATGAAATTAAAAACTGAGAAAAGATATCGAAATTGTGAGCTCCCATGAAAAAATTAAAACCGTGTTACCCAAATAATTCCAGCTGCCTATTGCGTCATCAAAAAAAGTACCCTTTCAATGAGGAATTTCAGAGACTGAGTTTACAATCTACTTCAAACCATAATGGAAACAGAAGCAGCAGCAGCAACAGCAGGAAGACGAAGTCCACTTCAGTGAAGAGCATGTATAAAACAAGTGAGTTCGTTCATGTTTTTCTGATTCATTTCTACAATAGATTTTACGTTTGAATTTTATATATCTAAAATCGATCATTTTAATCCATCATTGCAGAGAACTGGATTAGGATAGCTATTTCTTGCAGTGAATCAAGGTTATTTGAGGGAGAATAAGAGTAGGTATATTTTGTTTTTTTATCACTAAACTATGCAAGCTTTGTCTTCATTGACAGTGTAAAGTTTGTCTGCATTTCAGATACACGTAGAGACTATTAGGAAACGAAAAATCACATTCTGAGACACCTCACTATCAGATGGCTCACTTAATGCATTATGTCAGTTATAAATAGTTTGATGACTTTTCTCATATGTATGCTAATGATCATGAAAAGTAAAATGAGATGTGTCAGTCTCAGCAGCGCCATGAGCGATGAACAACTAACTAAAGTGGGTGCAGCCTGACTGACTCTTAATAATTTCTCCATCCTGATTCACAATTTTGTGACTAATCCCGGTATGATTCCCTCCTGTTCAGATTCATTGACATGTACTTTGATTTTTACTGAACAGGTTCTGACTGAGGTCGAAATCTCTTTCTAAAAATTATTGAAAGGTGAGTTAGAAGTCCTGCGTGAAATGTATGTGTATATATGTATAGGTAGGATTCTTTTTTCATATTCCGTGTTCTTCTGTCGCCACTTGCTAGATTTTCTGAAATGAGTAAGAAATTGACCTTTGAAAGCACTTTTGTCGTAGAGTAATACCACATTACACCAATTGATAAAGACCACAGATTTGTGCGTCAGTGTGAGTTGGTGGCACAGCGGTAGAATGGTCACCAACCACACATGAGGTCCCGCCCGATGCACTCCATCACCTCGTTAAGCCAGTAATAAGACTGGTAAAGAGGGAATGAGGCTAGCAACCCCATTCCATAAAAATAAATACGACTGCTAACAAAACTTCAGGCCTCTGGCTGAAAGCCCTATGTTCTACTGGAAACGTACAGGAATAAAAAACAGATTTTGCAATATTATCTTTTCGTTTAGTTTAGTATACTGAGGCAGATTTCATCTTTCACGTCAAAAATGAATAATCAAGCTGTTTGTTGTATTCCATTATAGCTCTATGAGTTGTTTCTAGTTCCTTAATTTTACTGAATATCTACAAAATTTGAAAACTGATTGAAAAATCTGTATAAAAATCCTGATTAGGCACTACTGATTGCCTGAAATAAAAGCACTATCAAATGTGTAGGAGAATAAACTGAGAGATTCGCTCCTACTCCACTGAATAGTATCTCATGAATGACGTTCATTCTCTGTAATAATCGTAAAAGTCTGCAAATCATGGTGAATTGATAGACAACCTGGTCCTCAAGAAATTTCAGTAGGAATGGTCGGTAAATTTTCAAAAGTAATAACTCAGTTTCATAACAGTTTTAATTCTTTTCTTAACTAATTTGTATTGGTCAATTACTACAGTTTTCTTCTCATCCAAATTTATACTACTTATTACTTACAAACAGTAGTTTATCAGCTTTGTTCATTTTTCACATAAAAATATAGTCCATATGATAACAGTTGCACCATAGTTAACTGTGTCCTGTAATTATCCGATAGTAAGAACAAGTCAGATTTTGACCGATATTCTGGAATTCGGAAGGAAACCATGATATGTGTCAATCTCGGTCTATTGGAACAGTAATAATTTGCTTTATTCTCAAACAGTACTTATGGTACAGTGTGGAATTCTTAGCATTTGGTAAAATATCGACAACAGAAAAAACATTAAAAAAATATAATGTTACAGGGTATACGTAACCAGGATTTGATTATAGTAGCTTTTCGGTATTTGCAGTGACAATAAAGTCAAAAATGTACAAAAAATGTAAAGCAGTGATAATAATGTTAGTTTTCAAGTATTGTGTTTTTCGTAGGGATTTTGTTTGATTGGTTGAAGGATTTCATCAGGAGCTGACATCAGTCGGAGAACCATTGGAAAACCTGGGGGTAATACTGAACAGCTGTTTCATCCTAGTTTGGGACTATTCATCAGTACGCACCCACCGCCACGGTTCGAACCCACGGCCTTCTGGTTACAAGGCGAGCTCGTAGACCATACACTAGCAACTGGGACCGGATCCAATGTCCGGCCAGTGCATGAATTCTAACTTCTGCCAATTCATAACATAGCACAACCACATAGCAATGTCTTCTTCGAAGAATTACTGCCCCACCTTCAACCTGCTGCACCCTACTGGTGACGGCTTCCCACTAGAACCCTAGGTCACTGCCTGAATAGGGTGAGTCGCTAGTATTGGTTTTTTGTGGAGATTTTGTTTGATTAGTTGGAGGATTTCATCATGAGCTGACATCGAAGAAGACACTGCGAAGTGGTCACGCTATGTCATGAATTTGAAGAAGTTAGAATAGTATTAGTGGCTAAAATTATGAGTTAATTGAAGTTGTGTCAACACTTGTTAAAAATAGAAGAGAATCAAGGAGCCAATTACGAAACAACGATGAATTCTTTGTGCAATACCGCTCCTCACATATGGACACGCGTGAACACAAAACTAAGTTTAAAGACTTTTGGTTAACCGTTGCCATAAGTGAATACATCAGAGATAAGACAATGACGGCTTTTACACTCAAATAAAATTTTTACAAGGGTATCTTCTGCTGTAAATTTTATTAAGCTTTCTCCATAATCTTCTCTCCATATTTACGCAGATCAGCCATCCAGTCTGAAATCATGTCAAAAGAAAGTTGTCAATAATACATCTCCAACAGATAAACCTCTAACAAATGATATTTCAGGTATTCGAATAGAGCAACTGCCAAAGCCATTCAGCTACTCACGTCACATCGCTCTACCTTTTTCTGAGCGTGCATTGGAGAATAACTGTATGTCTACAAATTCCTCTATTAATTTTCCGACTTCAGTCCAGTCTAATCGCTGTACATATGAAAACTCCTGGTCAAACTTATGGCGCAGTGGCCTTCCAGAACAAAAGTTGACTGTGTGGTTACCAAGGCGATTTAATGATCAAGATGATGAACGGTCACAATGGAATTCACACAATGTAAAACTTCATAAACATAGCTTTCCTGATTTAAACTTTGCAGAATTAGATAATCGTTTCACTTGGAAGTCAATTCAAAAGAGTTCACCCCAGATAAATGTCAACCGCAATAGTTATTGGACTCCCAATGCATACTACAATGTTCAAAACCATAAAATCATTACTAATTCTAACAATAACAACAGCAGTAGTAGTACTAGCACAAATAATTCTAAGCTGCTTAATACTTCCCACAGAAATGGAGAATTTTGTAGCAACTACCCCGATAACTCGAAGAAACTGACTGTAATGGGGAATTCCTATCCTGTCACCAGACCTCCTGATATTAAAGAGAAAACGTTGGCACAGTTGTCTCTTATTCGAAAGGAGGAAAATTGTACAACATCTGTTGACTCTGGTAAGTAACACTGCAAAACACCATCAAACAGACTGAGGCACTTTTTTCTGCTTTTCATTCACATAAGTATATCGAGTAAAGGTTAAATGAACAGTTAAGCTTTTTTGTATTTATTGCACTGTACAGATACGACTGAGCCTCACAATGTTTTGCTTTACTAAAACTAATTTTAATTCACTTTTATTCTTCATTGAGTTTGCGAGTACAGTAGAACCTGGGCTTTACTAACTGCCTGTAAAATCATAAGTTTCACAGATTAAGAGTAGGCAGGAAATGTGAAGATCATTGGCGTTTAAATAAGAACTAATGAGCTAATTTTCGAAAGACCGCTACGTTGACGGGACTGTAAAGCAGAGGCTCCAACTAACTAACTAACTAACACAAGTTTGTGTTATTTCTTGTTTCCTGAGATTCTGAATAAATTTCAACTAGTAGTTAACTTTGATTAAACAATTACAAATAGTTTTGAAGTCAGTTTACTTAACAGCTGAGGTCAATTTTAAGATTACCAATATCCTGAATTATGTATTTTAATTTCAGTGCACGGAAGCCAGATTCTGTTGAATATAAAGTCAGTCAAATGAGTCATCTGCGCAACCCTAAACAGCTTCTTAAAACTACGATTCTTAATACACAAACACGATACACATAGTGTGCATTCACAAATTTTACGACTTCTCTTAGGAACCGAAACAGTTACTACAGTTGCTGTGATCAATTGTATAGGATTCATCATAAGTTGATGTTAGCAAGCTCTAAGATGAATTTCTCACCAACTGTACTTTTGTAGTGCATCATTGTTGAAAATGAGTCGTGTCAGGTTTCAAAACAGTGACCCCAGACTATTAGTCTGACACTCTACCAGTTGAATCATTGAATCCAACTAGTAACTGGATCATCGTTTCATTCTAACCATCAGCCACTATGCCATTTTGTCATGAGAATGAATGATACGTAATTGCTGCTTTCACATTAGCAGGGCGTTAGATTATTAATTGACGATGAGACTATCTGGAATGGCCTTAAACTGACAAACAGCATCGTTGTAATGGGGGATAAGTGAAGTTTGGATTGCCAAGTCCCAGTTTGGAAATGTCATGACTGTCAGTTCATATGCTGCCCTGACTGACTTAAATTTTTTTTATTTCACCTTAAGTCACCCGTTACATGAGTAGCAGCCTATCAACTCAAGACTATCCTAGGCAGTATCTTCAAGAAGTAATTATTTATTAAATGAGAGAGTAACTGCTGGTACTCGCTACTACAGCAACAAAAAAATCTGTTATTTTATTACTTATGCTTTAAAAACTGAGCTATTCTGAATTGTTATAAAAATGTACTGTAGGATCTATGTAACTAACCACAGATTAAATGTCTAAATATATTTGAAATTTCGAAAGAGTTATTATTTTGTAGGAGTAGAATTTGGACACTGATGGTTTCTCAGATATAACACAGTGATACGATGTTAAGAACCGTAGTTATTATTTTGTTAAAGCATACAAAAACAATAATGAGAAATTACAATTAATTTCGTCTATGTTGCTACAAATATAGCCTAGATGATTTACTCATTCGTAAATAGATGATAATAATTCTACTTTGGTTAAATGAACAACTCTATCGATTCAGTTATTTATGATGCCACCAATTTTATAGATGTCACACGGCAAGCTTGAAATCTTTTGTCATATAATATGATAAAACTTACAAGTAGCCTACTTTTTGTTGATGAAACTTTTTTACCGCCTAATTAACCTAAAGCACCATGGTAACATTCACTTGAATATAAACGTTTTTGGAATATATATGCTTATCATGTAGTAAATTTAACTGGATTGGTATGTGGAATACAGCTTGAAATCCACGTTTATATATGTGTTTGGATGAAAGATTCAGCGAGAGATGATAAAATTATGCGTTCAAATGAACATTTTTCATAAATGGGGATTTGATCACTAACCGATATCAGTTAGAGAATCATTGAAAACGTATGCAGTACTGAATGACTATTTTGTTATAGTTCGGGGTGCTCCATGAGTTAACAACCATGACACCATTGTGATTGTTATATGTTAACAGCAGCTTATTTAGTGATATGCCTTTTTATTTATCATTAATGGAATATGTTTCTTATGGTCAATATTAGTGCAAAGTGTAGACCTTAAAAAAGTCACAGGAAACCAGAGAGAATTCAAACTGAATTGGACGTATGGTAAACAGAAAGAAAAACCTATAGAAGTCATCTAGGTGCTATCAGATTTTATTGATATCGACACAGGTGTGACATCAAAAATTCATTGCAGAATTTATTAAATGGTACTAATGCCTTTTGAGATGTTCAGCTTATCTATTAACTGACCTTTCTGGTAAATAAAAAGTCATAGGTTAATAACGTAAACATCCTTTTGTCAGCAGTTATCCTCAAACCTCAATTAATTAATAGTTGATGTCATATGAAAAACAATTCTATGAGTAAATTTGGAGCTCAATAGACTATAAAGATGTGTTAGAGAGTTAATTATACAACAACAGAAACTGATTAGTCAAAGTCTGATAAAGTCATTTCCGTTTAGATAATCTAACAGTTTCATGGGGTTTTTCCTGCTTTTTTGTTCATTTGAGTTCTTTGACAATTACCATTCAACGTAATATCTACAGTGGTGTTGTATGTATTGCACGGTCTTTTCTGCATAGAACCACTATGGAAAAACCAAGTCTTCGGGTTCCAACCAGATGGTTGTATGATTAATGGCCTCGCCGTATAACCTAAATTTTCTGGGCTGCGCCTCTGGTGTGGTCGTAGGTGAGAGCTGCTGAAGGGTCTCAATGGTTCTCTAACTAATATTGGTTCATGAAAACATCGACCTTGGGATAAATAATAATAGAAACAAACCAGGACTTCTGAATTCATTCAAGGCACAAATCACTTTATTACTTCCTCGAACTGAGTAATAATGCACTGTGAGTTTTCCCTTTCAACTCCCTTATAGTGAATTTCTTCCATAAGAAATTCGGGACGATAATCGAACGATAATTAAAACCACACGTTGAGTGACGCGTAAAATCCTAAAACACAGGATTTGTCTAAACTACGGTACTACATTAAACACAAAATATCAAATATAATATACAAATTTCACCTGTGAGGTGTCTGTGGCTGAATGCCGGCAAAAAGCACAGTCAATGTGAGTCAATAAGTAAAAACAGCGGAGCTGTGTCAAAGGCGATCCACGTGTTATTTAAACGGCACGTGAATGCCGGACACAGAAGAAAAGGATACGAGTAAACAATGTTTAACAGCAATGTGTACACGAGTAAAGCATATACCGCAAATAATGTTCAAAAATAACTACTAAACACCAAATATAGCCTAAATACATAAGGTTAAACCTCAATAGCAAAATCATGTTTACGAAGTAAAGCACAGTTTATATTACTTACTAATGATAAGTAGCATAAAAGTGAACACAAAAGAAAGGAAAGCAGAGAACAGCTAAGAAAGGAATAAACCCTTATTAAGATTTGAGTGCAGTTTAGTTAATCAATGCATTTAGCTAAAAAATATCAGTCCCTACCACTATAACTACACACTGACAATCTGATTGGAAAAAGGTTTATAACTTGAGAATATATAATTCCATTATGGAGAATATATAAATTTTAAAAATGTTCATTTACTGCATTCTGTTTATCTTTTTTTGTTCTGCATAAATGAGCCACATGATATGCACATTCCTAATATGATTGACAGTGCATACAAATACCAATAATGGTGAGAAATGTAAGCTGTACTTACACGTCATCATATCTATAAACAAATTTAATAAAATTAGTTTCATTAGTAGATTAATAATTCATATTTTTTTGCCTCTACTCTGATTACATTGTAAACTGATTGTTTTTCTTACGAGAACTAATAATAAAGCTCATATCAGTTATTCTTAAGACATCACTTAGTCTCAGCCTTGTTTTAAGGCTAAAAGCACAAATGAATGCCTCTTTTCGGAGAATTTAGATGAGAAAAAGTAGAACTCCATATTAGTTTGTTTATTAGATATATCACACAGTGAAACAATGCTATTTACTGGATGACGTTTCGAACACAATGTATTACTGTTCATAATCATTTCATCAATTATAATCACACACCTTCGAAACTTTCGTTTTATAGTTTTCTTTATTCTTTCCTATTTGTCGTAGGGGTAGTAGAATTTTCCACATGTCTGGGACAGGTGTTGAATCATACGTACATTACATACTGTCACAGTGCCCAAGTTTTACACATATATTAAAAGTTAGAATGATGAGTTTTGATTAAGAGTAAATGAAGCTGATCTTGCTTTAAATAGCATAACAGGCCGATTTTTCTAATGATAATTAGTTGTCATTTCAGTGGATACAACTTCAGTTCACGAACTCATACTTCGAGCTTTCTGCCAGTCATCGGCAAAACATGCTTGCTACCAGTAACTAGAATTAGTTCTGGCATCAAATTAAAGCGTTCTACACTTGATGGACAGGTTTATATCAGCATAAATTAATCCATCTGTGTACTATCTTTCCCTTAAGGAAATTTTTGCAATGTTGACAATGTATTTTCAAGTGGGTTTGTTGACTGACAAATAAAACTGATTTCACTGACAAAATTAATTCAGATAATTGTAGAGATTTCAACTACCAGTGAAGTATCGTGGAAGAAGAGAATCTGACATTCAGTTCTGGTCATTATTCATGATTGAATTTGTTCTGGTTTATATCGTAGAGTAATGCAATACATTTTTATTCAGCCCGTAGTTGTTGTCATTTTTGTGTTGTTTTTTGAAGTTCATGAACGTTAATGAAATTAACAGACTAAGATATCTCTTTTCAAAAATTCTGAATGAATAATATCTATGCAACCCAGAAAAAAAGTACAGGTTTGTCATGAAGAATAGTGGGTGATATTACTTAGGCGACAGACCAAATAAATCGGAGTACCAGCTAATAGTGTTGTGTCT